TCTGTTAACAATACTGATTCTAAAAACTGCAAGATTCTCGCGGGTGTTCCTCAGGGATCGATCTTGGGGCCCTTCCTGTACAATATTTTCACTAATGACATTCCACAAGACCACAGAATTAAATTGACACTCTACGCTGATGATACAGCAATTATTACACAGGGAAGGTATTTACACATCATCCAGGTAAACTTACAAAACTACATCAACACTCTTGAATCATGGCTAGAAAAATGGAAAATTAAACTCAATGTCGCGAAAACTGAAGCAGTGCTATTTACCAGGAAAAAATTCTATAATCCTCCTAACATAACTATTTTTAATACTAACATTTCCTGGTCTAAAGAAGCTAAGTATTTAGGTGTAATTTTTGATAGAAGACTAACATTTAAGGCTCATATTAACTACTTGCGCGATAAATTTAATAATGTTTTGCGTAAATTTTACTCTGTCATGGGCAGACATTCTAAACTAACAATTGAACTAAAAACACTAATCTATTTAACTTATCTTCGTCCGATAATAGCATATGCGAGTCCAGTCTGGGGCTCTACAGCCAAAAGCAATTTTATTATTTTAGAACGGCTTGAAAACAAGGTTATCCGCATGATTGTTGATGCCCCATGGTATTTTAGAAACGCCGAAATTAAATATGCACTTTCCATGCCTAGCTTTAGGGAATATGTGGCTAAAATTGCAAAAAACTTTTATTCATCACTCAATAGATCTAGTAACTCTGTCATCCAAGCATTAAATCAATTTGAATATGATATTTCTCTGCACTCGTCTCGTAAAAGACCTAGATGTGTTATAAACATCAATCAGTAGACTGCATTTCTTCTCTTGCATTTTTCTATGGTCCTGGTAACTTCAGGTTAAGTTCGCGCTCCGCGTATATTTTTGTTTGTTCTTTTAAATACTCCTGCGTGGGTGCTATGTTGTGCTTCGGCTTTAGGTTCTCTCCGGTCTTTTTCTCTTTTTTTTAGTAGTTGTGCTTTGTATTTTCTTGTATATGTTTTCTTTTATATTTTCCCTTTTTCTATATATTGTGCAAATTGTTTTTCGTTATCAATGGGCAGTGACCGACTACCACTGTTTAATTATTTCTTGCTAATAGGAGGTTTGGTCGCTTCGCGACCAAGGAACTCCGATGAATCGTACCGATTCACATATTATTTTTTTAAAAATTGAAATATTAGGATAAGCAATTTTTATTGTTTCAGCATTAAATTGTTATTTTTTTTTCACTTTTATATCAAGATATCTGCGCTGCTGAAAAATGAAATCCCAATAACAAGTAGAAGTTAGTTTAAAAGTATGCAATTTAGGCAGAGAAAATCTTATGTTAGCATAATTATTTTATTAACATTTCAAAGTCGCAGGTTAACGTAAGCGTGAGAAGAGCTGTTTCAAATGTGAATAGGTTGATACATTAATAACTTCGCTGTAATTTGCACTATATTAAATACAAAGCTGCAAACGCTCATATTTGTCATTTATGGGACGGAAAACCATGCCTGCTACGCTTGGTCAGGTCAAATCAGCAATCGTCTCTCTGGTATAGAAGGGCTACGAGAAAGTGAATTTTATTTTCAAGATATTGCAAAAAGACTTGGCTAGGATGCATTCACTAAACATGATTATATTCACTGCACATGAAGTGTCATAATGTGCTGTCTCAAGAAGAAAGAACTCCAGCCACCAGAATGACAAAAGGAGCGATAACAAATCTATTATCTGAGTATCAGTTCCAAGTCAGACACCATGAAGTGTTATGTAACTCCGAATCTTCGCCATCTGCGACTTCAGAGATGTTAAGCTAGAGCTGATTGGAAGTCGGAGGGAAGAACTGTTGCGCTCTCAGATGGCAGCTGTTTCTGTCTTGATTATAATTATAGCAAAATGTGAAGGAGGCCATGTGAGCGTTTGGAGCCAATCTGTCTGAGTTTTAAACACACTGGAACTACATTAGAAGTTTTGGTTTGGATAACGATTTCCTATGAGAGCCGTCGTTATTCCAAGTACCTTGACAATAAATTTGGGCATTAGATTAGTGATTGAACCAGTTGTACTGTTTTTTGATAGCTGCTCTAGGGTACGGTTTCATACAGATGGTGCCCGTCTCTATACTGCAGTCACCCAACTTGATCTACAGAGTGTCAATATATTGCCTTGGCTATATCCTCCCAACGAGCACGTGCATACATTATTGGACGACAAATCCAGCGCCATGCACAACCGGCACCAACCGTTGCTGGTTTGACTGATTGACCATAACTGACTTCTGAGTGACTGGAAGTCCATCCTTTAGAGACTGACATATTACGACTGCACGACATAATACATTCAAAGTCGTGGAGTTTATAACGGTTGAGGCTATTAATGTATAATAATCTCTCTTCAATCCAGTATGTTCGGGACCATGACATTACTGGATTAGTGATTTTGCCGGAACATCGAGTGTCGATATAGTTTTAAGCAGGATATCAAAGATAAAGATTACTAGAAAAAAAGTTAAGCGATTAAAATATGTATATATTTAAAATGTTTATAATGTGGGAAAACCAACAGCTACAATAAACTCGGGGCGAAAATGTGAGTAGTACTGTGTCCTCATCTGGCATTCAACTCAAAGAACGCTTCAATCTCTACGATAAAAAAAAAAACGAAAGTGATGGCTCGATCTGTGCCGGATTATAGAATGGGCCGAACTATCGAACAACGTATTAAAAAGAGGTTATTATACCACTATTTCACATTTAAAATGACTTTTCTCGATCATTCTTTATGTGTGATTTTAAAACCTTAATGAAATAAATATACTACCCACAAAATACTTTGCCTAAATTTCATTTTTTTAAACTAATATCTTCTAGGTGTTGGGAAATTACATGATAATTTTATAACGAAGAAATTTCATGACTCTTATACTTTTTGAAATTTTCTTTTCACCTTAAATTTTATTTTTGTACAACGTATTTTACAGTTCGACAAGCATTCTATTTATGCATACATATCAATAAGCTAAGAAATATATTTACTTATATAAATGTATTAGGTATTATTTAGACTGTTCATTAAATTATATTCTATAATTTTTTGGTTAAAGATGCATTTCAGAAATTGTAATTTTTTTTTCTGGGAATTTCAATGAATTGTTATGTGAACAACCTTCAATATGTTATGATTTTAAATCACTGAATATTAGAAAATATATAAAAATAGATAAACCTAGACTCTAAGTGAAGGCACAAGTACATTCCGGAATAATCACCAATTTGTTGACAGTTAATATAAAAAAAACCTATAATATACGATACAACGAATTGGAACAAAATTTGATTTTCTAATAAAATGAACGTACATAAAATCATTTATATATTATTTTGTTTTCATCTAAGTGAAATCCATGCCTCTCCTTTTGCATAATTTTTTTTTTCTTTCTTTTTTTAGTATTGGATCGTTCTGTAAAATTTTTTTATTATTATTGATGTAACTTGCAGATACATTCATTTCTTTCAAATATAAATGAAATTATTTTGAACCTGTCGGAGATTTTGAAGTAAATCAATTAGTAATTAATAATATTAGTATATCACCTGCTTTTATATTCTCCTACGGCTCTCTAGCGGCCTGTTGGCCAATTGGCTAATGCTCTGGCCGTTGGTACCACAGGCTTCAGATTCAAATTCTGGCGATGGCAGGGATGTTTGTTAGTGGTTCGGAATCCACGTTAAACTGTATGTCCCTGTCTAAGTAAGCCTAAAGTTTACACAAAATGATCGTAGAGCGATAAACCAACCTTAACCTTCGGATGTCCATGACAATTTTGAAGTCTCCTCTTTTAAAAACTGTATGCTCCTTGCTATGTTTAAGAATCGAACGAGAGCAGCTTTTATAATTCTGGTTGCAATAGAATTTCCGTTTTCCAAATCTGATTTCACTTCTATCGTTCTCTCCTGTTGGGGAAGATGTATTTTAATAAATTATTGTAAAACTTGTAAATACTGGTGCATCTTTTCTCCCTTGTACAAATTCTTTTTTCTGAATTATTTCTTGCAGTTTTTTGTATCTAAATCAGTTTATTGGTCAACTAACTGTAAGCGATCTTCTGGTACCAAAATAAATTTTCTACTGGATATTTTCTTCATGGATCAAGAAAGGAGAATTACTGATATCATTGCTGGTAATAACAAGGATAAAAATCCTTCTTCCCGCGTAGAAGCCATATCTTTCTTTTATTACAGAGTGGTAGTTTTCTTAAATTGTAGTTTAAAAGGGTCTAATTGATTCTTTCGTTTTCTAGTAAGTGGAACTTTTCCTTGAAGCACATTCACACAAAGGTTTAATAACAATGTCTGGATATTTTTTTAAGAACATACACCTTTTTGATGTATTTATTTAAATCTATAAGAAGTCGAATAAAGAAACATCTTTAAAATGTTAAACATTTTAAAATACCGTTGTGCAGTTTCTAAAAACCACAGCTAAATAATTTCAGTTTATAGATAGCTCAGTGGTGGGAATGTCTCCCCTGTTGAAAAGCATACAATACATTTGAAGGTGGTAAATTATTTACTCTGGGGCATTCAAGAGGCCTGATGTCCAAGTGACTAGCGCTCTGGCGTTCGGTGCCACAGGTTTCTCGTCCAGTCCCGGCGAGATGGATGGTTAGGTACATGGATGTTTGTAGTGGTTAGGAATCCATCTTAAACCGTAGGTTCCGGTTTAATATGACTACTACAACTACTACATCTTGCCACATCCCTGTGCCTAGAGCTGAGTTGACCCTGTACAGTTTGGGAATGATGTGGATGAGAAGAAGTCTGATTGGGGTCTGTGACGCTCTATAGTCATATGAGAACGGGACCTACGGCTTAAAGTGGATTCCAAACCACTACAAACATCCATGGCCCACTGGAATTCGAACCCGATACCTATGGTACCGAGGCCAGAGCTTTAGCCATTCGGCCATCAGGCCCCAAAGATTTTTGAATGCCAACGGCACGCGATGTTCCCTGGTGGTCACCTCCCAACTACTGACCGCGCCCGATGATGCTTGATTTCGGTGATCGAACGAGAACCGGTATATTCAGCATGGTATGGCCGTCTAATATGACTGTAAAGCATCGAGAATTTGACTGACAACTCTACCTCATAAAAAGAAAATAATCTTCTGTCTCGAAATCTGCCAGTAGGCAGAGGGCCTTGCTCACCATGGCTTATTACGCACGCTAATGAAGAAGAAGAAGAAGAAGAAGCTTTGTTTGTTTGAAAAGGCACTGATTTTCGTTCTCTGAATATTTTTGTAAACATTTAAAATACTGTGTCCTGTTTTATCCTTTTAGGGTATGTGGTCATATAAATTGCTTATATATATTAAGGCCCAAGCATATTTTGAAAATACATCTATACAGGTAATTAGAAATTTATAACCGGGAAAATACGCAAGTTGAATCCACGGGTTAGAGTTACAGTTTACTTATTCCACAACTTGACCTTTTCTCTCCAAGTTGTGTATATGTCCCCCTCTCCTTTTTAACTGGTCAACTCAACTCAGCATATTCCCTTATAACCATAGATTGTAAATTTAATAAATATGCCTGAAATTGTGCATCTATACCTCCAACTATGACTCTATTTCTCTTAGCATTTAGTTTTGCAAGTTTTTATAACATATACGAATCTTTAGTTTTCTTACAGCTCTATGTAAAGCATTAATGCCTCCAAAACTGGTTGGTTGGTTGTTTTAGATGTACTTCTATAAAACTTCACAATGAAAATTTTTTGTTCAAGTGTTTATTGACTTAAAGTAACTTTTCAAATGAAGTACAATTACAGACTATAAGCATTTATATAATATAAGAGAAAGTAAAGAAAAAGACTATGAACATTTACTTTATCGAAAATTCCTAACAAAAGATTTTTATACAAAAACATACATTTGTTAATAAACAAAAATATATTCTGAAAATATGAAATTTTTTGCAAACAAACAAAAAGAAGAGATACTACAACAATATCCTAGAATAACCATTTACATATAATTCTTCAATTTTCTTAAAAATCCAATCACAGTCCAGAAAAGTATACATTTTACATTCAAATTCTTTCAAATATATTTGAAAGAATATTTTTGTATTTGAAATATTTATATTTGAAAAAATGGCCAGAGCATGCCATTCAACTGTAGATAAAGCTTTTACAAAAAATATTAAAACATTCTTGTTGATTTACGACCTTACATTCATGTTTAGTTAATTCAAATCCATTTTTACAAATAAAATATTCATCACGAATTAATTTATTAATAATAATAATATTCGTTAAACACTTACATAAAGATTCAGAATTTCATCTGGTGTGACACTGCCAAAATTATTCCATTTCTCATAACTATCTTCAGGGCGTTCATTTAGTTTGTAGATCACATATTCTGTAAAGGTATATATCAGAAGTTTATTTTTCACATAGTCGGACACTCCGATAAGAATTATATATACTCCGATATTGGAGTGGATACTTCCTCAGCACATGGTCTAACCTTAATTATGATGTAGCAACTCATGGCGTAGTCCATATCCCATCTGTAATTGTTTCGATCTGTGAAAGCAAAACAAACAATCGCTAATTTCATGACGTATCATTATCCTTGACGCCGATTATCTGCTGTCAGATTTGAATGACATGTTGTTCTCATTATAACAAAACACTAATTGCATGTAGTATAATTATCCAAGGCACTGCCTATCTGCTGTCAGATTTGAGTGATAGGTTGTTATTATGCACTTGTTAAAGAATATACATTCCTTTCTCCTGGAAACAGAAATGCTATATCTCTTCTCGTGGGAAAAAGGCTACACTATACATCGAGTTTCTATGAAACCACTGCTTTTATTGGTTGTAGCTTTCCATTTTCATCCATAGAGTACACGAGTTCATACTCCAATATGAACACGAGTTTGTTTTAAAAACTTATTTACGACCACCTCCTAGGTCAAACATGTGATAGGGAATATATGGCTTCCCTCTCTCAGCAATTTGAACTTCCTTGCAAACTACTTTATTCTGAAAAAATATTTTTCCCTTACAAGACGTTTTTTTTTCTTTTTTTCATTATACACTTACAAAGCCCTATTCGCAGAAGGAATGAACAATATGCAATGCAACAATGTCTTCGCAGCATATTGGAGTACTTTGACCTCGTAGGAGCCTTAAACTCCTGTCTTACGAGACAGTGTCCATGGCAGGTAAAAAGGATGAATTAAGATGGCATGAGGTAAATAATAAAACAACAATGTAAATGGGAAAATGTACCAGTCCAAAAATAAATGTTAATTAAAAGAATTAAGAATAACGGAATTATAAGAATAGTTAAAAAAAATTTAATTTTGTAATTAATAATTAAGATAGTATTAAAAGTAAAAATAAAAGCTAAGAACAAATTAAAAAAATTATATATGTATATATATATTTGGCATAAAATATATAAAAGATAATAAAATAAAACAGCTAAGAGATAGGTCACAACTTCTAGAAATGATGACTAAAGGCACAGGGTCAGGGTCGAACCTGCAACTTCTCGGCTACAAGAACGACGTTCTTAACTACTGAACGAGTTCGTCTAACTAAAGACGCAACAAATTGTGCAGAACTGTCCGAGGGCGTTTTCTAGAACATTACAAATTTCGTAGTTCAAAATGTGAACGAGATTGCTGTAAAATTTCTCAGCAAGTTTAAGCATAAAATTTTGAATACTAGTGAGGGCTAAAGAGTGACGAAAGTCATCATTTTTCTAAAGTAGCACAGAGAATCATTGATCATTCTCAGTACCTCGTTTTCTAGACATTTAATGTAATGTCTAGAAAACGAGGCATTTATTTGAACGAGGAACGTATTTTACAACATAACCTCAATCTGGACTAGCACAAGTGATAACTGGAAGCATAAAGTATATGAAAATGATAAGTTTATTATCAAGCGAAAGAGAAGAGAGTCTGTTGATAAAAGGACAAAGGAGACAGATATTATATTTATGTGATTAATATGGTTAATTTGCTGTCAAGAAAGACACCCAGATATTTAGCATTTTTAGTACAATTAACATTTTGATTAAAAAGAGAAATAGGCAGAAGGAAGAATTTTTTTCCTCGTGAAGAATACACTTTCCGTTTTATCTACGTTAATTTTTATTTGCCATCTGTGGAATGAATAATGTTAAATAAAAAGGTGATGTTTGCCTCTGGCATTGTTATATCAGCAGTAGATAAAAAGATGCTGATATTGCAAAGAAAAAAAAAATTGAGGCGTCCTTTACGGCACGTGACTGTTGATAAGTATTCTAATCCATCTTAGAACCTATCCCAATTTGACACGTGCATTCCAACCTCTTCCTTAGTTACATATTCACAAGGTTTATCTGAAATAATTTTCCCACTAGAAAAATGTTATTGAAAACTGATAAGCATTGAATTGAATAGAAGGATACGAACTGTCAAGAGTCCGGGTTATACTTCACATGAATAATGTTATCAGTAAATAGAGTTTGAATCCCACAGACATTATCTTATCACTTCAGCCACCACAGATGTGCCTTTTAAACTGGTACAACGAATTGATAATAAATATAAGGAAAAACATTTCCGCAGTATGAAATTGATTTAACAAATCACATTAAAATGCATCAAAAATCTTTTGCCGAAATAATTATCTGTAAAAGAAATAAATTTTTTAAAAATAAATAAATAAATTTTATTTACTATTGGGATAAAAAAAAAAAACTTTTGTGAAAATAATTATATGTATAATGAAATAAATTTGTAAAAATAAAATCAATAAATATTGTAAAATAATTCAACTAAAAAAAAATCGCATCCTTCCAGAAGGCATCTGTCTTATAGTACAGACACTCCGATATTTCTACAAGATAACAAATTTTAGGGGAAACACCCCTTTCTATCAAGATGGCTTCTCGCCTATGTCCTTTTTCTTGTGGCATCACTTCCATCCTCTTTAAGCCTCGATTTTTTTAATTTGGCCTGAGGAATAATTTTGATGGTTTATGCTTTACCCACTGACATGATAAGCTGAGAAAGAAATGCCACGCATGAATGGAAAAAGAAATACTTAAAAAATTGTTATTTCTTGTAATTTTGTAATTATTTCTTGTGTTCTAACGGACATCAACATTGAACATCAATGAAACATAGAGTCTACCATGAAATTAATAAAGAACTGGAATATTTCGTCTCACTCCTCTAGAAGAGCTTTTTGTCGTATCGATATACAGACGGAAACTCGTCTGTCTAGAATATATCAAACATGTTCTTTCGAGTTTGTCGCCAATGCATTAAAAAATACATTTGTGCATCCATATATTCAAAAATTAACTGTCGAAATTAGTTGTCTAATTTAGTAAAACAAATACAAGAAACTTTTTTAAATATATTCATCTCCCTTTCAGGTTGAAATCGAATCGACCTCAGAATATTTCCAAATGGAACTGGTTAACTTACGATACAATATTGAACTAAAACACATTTTTGAAACATCAGAATCAAAAATAAGATTTTTATAAAACTTACGTCAGAAAAGAGAAATTTGGCACAAAAGTTATTAGCGCTTTTGGTTCAACTGCGAATAAGTTTTTTTTCTTTTTCGAAAATGAAATTGATCAAACACAAAACATAACGGATTCTATGTTTATATGCAAGAATAGTAGTAAACTCAATAATAATAACTCATTATGTTTCAATTTTTCACTCCAAAAAATGTCTGTAGGGGGTTTAAATCTAACATGGGATATATAATTTTATATGCGGCCCGCGGAGTTAGGATGCATTCCCAAAGTGGCCTGCAAGGGCATTTGGGTTGGTCATCCCTGCTCTACGCCTTTCTCTCTTAGTTTACTCAGTGTTTTCACCAGTCTTATTGACAGTTATTCTTATTAATATAATGATCAAATGAAGGTTTATTAATCAAGTTAATTGGAGGCAGATATTCAAGCTGTAAAGCTTTTTCTTTTAGCAATTTTTTTAAAAATCAATAGCAGTTGCTAATGATTTTGGGGAACATGGGTGTTTGGGTCGCATTTGTCAAAGAGTTTTCTTTTG